CGCGCGCTGGCCCGGGGAGCCCGCGGTCGCCGAGGAGGTGCAGTAGGCCTCGGAAAGGTCACCGCCAGCCACCCGGGGAGTCCCTTCGGCAGCCCCGGGGCCCGTCCGACGCCGACCCAACAAGGGCCCCCGTGTATGCCCTGCCCCTGGCGGCAGATCAGCCCCGGGCCGGCTCGGGCGGCGTGTCACCGGGCGCCGCGTGGAGAGAGGCCCTGGGGGCGGGGCGGGGAGCCACACGGGGCCTGGCGCCGCCACCCCGGGAAGTGAAACCGCTGCGGGCAGCCCCAGGTTTCCACGGCTGGGAGTCCGCCGGGGCCGGTGGACGCCCGAAGGCTCCAGGCTGGAGAGCTCGGCCTCTGGAAACGGGGAGCGTCACGGAAGGAAGTTCGGCTGATGCTGTGTGCGCTCTCTCGGCTACGCTTGCCGCTCTGAAGCGCCGGTGACATTGAGACACTCCTCAGATACCACAGGCAAGACCTGAGGGCGCCTCTCCCCTGGGACCCCTTCTCCACAGCATGAGCCTGCCACGGGCCTGTCGCATTTCAGAAGAGCTTGATGCATTTTTCAAAACCCCCGGAGTGACTGAAGCCACTGGCCTGACGGGGCCCTCTTGTGCTTGGAACAAAGTGCTGTCTAGAGGTCGTGGGACTTGACTGACGGCACAGGGTCCGTGGCTTCGCGGCTGGGTTCTGCGGACAGTTAGGGGCGTCGCAGGGCCAGCTCACGATGGCCCAACCTCTCAGATGACACTCAGGGCCGCTCTGTCCTCAGCCGCTCGCCACACCCTCCCTGCCGCGCGCTCGGGCAGCACCCGGGCCGCGCCGCGCGCCTGGGGGGCCCCGCCGCAGAGCGCGGAGGGCGTAGGGGTGTGCGTACGGCGTGTCTCCGCCCCTCCGAGTGCCGGCCGCGCGGAAGCCGCAGAGAGTGTTCCTGCCTCGAGCGCTGCCGAGACCCGGAGAGCTTCCGCGGGCCGCTAACGAGGAACCCGCCCTTCTGCTCATCTGGAAATTGAAAACGAACTCAGCCAGTGAAATGAGCGAGAATGGCACCCCAGTATGGCCCCTGCCATTTTCTATGGGTCACCTCGGGTATTACTTGCCCTAGGCCTGATTCCCCACCTATCGAATGGCAGAATAAAAGTCACTTGACGGCAGGCTCTGAGGGTTCATGGGCTCATTCAGTTACATGCTGACTTTTATTATTAATATATGCCCCACCCTGGGTGAGGCTCTGGATGGTCTACACAGGAGGCTTGGATGATTTTATAGTGGTGATGTTTACAAGTGAATTTATGGTGATAAAATTACCAGTAGTAACACTAGTTTCTTTTAAAAACCCAAGTTTTAGGACTGTGAAAATAACACTGTCTCTACTTTTAACTTTCATGTAGGACTAACTGCTAATTTCTGCAGTGTTCTGGTTTGAATTTAGCACTTAGTGGTAAATAAAGTAGATAGCTGGAAAGTTCTTGGACAAACGTCTCGATTTCAAGATGACATTTTTTCCTAAAAGTAAAGGGAGACATTTTTTTTTTCACTGTTGTCAGTTCCACACAGAAACAATGGATCCAAACACCAGTTTTTAGACAAGCCTCTGGTTTCAATAAACTGCCAACATTTCATTCTCAGGGCTTGAAGGCAGTTGGTTCGGAGTCTAGGAGCGAGATCTCGTGGACGATGGGGACATCTCGAGGCTGTTTTGAAAACTACAGGCCGCCATGATTCCTTAGCAAGCAAACCCATCTCCATGCCACTGGAGCGTGCTCCAGGGACAAGCAGCACTGGTTTCGTCCAGGAGCAAATAATATGGAACAGTCCCTGTGAAGGTTGAAGTGGGAGCAGAAGGGGTCATCTTTTTCTGTCCCCTAACAAAACAGGAAGTTGGAATAGAGAACATTGAAAATAGCTTCAAAGAAGGGGAAAAAAGGAGTAAAAGACGATACATCGATACTTACTAAAATCTTTATTCATTTTCTTTTTTTTTTTTTTTTTAGAATTGAAACCCATAGAACACATTAGAAATTTTGGTGCGTATCTGTCCTGTATGGTGTCTTACCAAGCCCAATTCCCCGCCATGCGGCAGGGCTGAGACGAAACCCTTGGCAGATCAAAACAGAGGGTAGTGGTTCCTACACCTCCCTTTTAAGCAAATAAATTAGCTTCCCAGTAAGTTATTCCCAGCTCCCCCCCTTAGGCTTTGTATTTGCGAGTAACACCTTAGTTCCTTTAAAAACCTGTGGCGGTGGCATCCCCAGCCCCTGCCTTTTCAACCCAGACTGGAGGCATCGAAGGGAGAGAAACTGGCCTTCCCCTGGACGACAGGCTGCACGAAGTCAGGTGTGTCTGGCTCCCGTGGGTGCCTAGCCACGGCCGGCTCACCAGAGCTGCCCAGCAGGTGCCGGCTGAATGGTCTTTTATGTCACGTCGGGGCCACTCGCAGAGACTGAGGAGTGACCCTTTCACTAGTTTCAAGTTCTTCAGCAACATAAGTCAGTGTTTTCCTGTGTCAAAATAAATACATTTTTTTCTTGCTACAATACAGATACGACTATATACATACATATGCCTTTACTCATGTTTCCTGAAGCTCAAGCTCACAAGATCACGCCTATAGGACAGCTCACTGACAGATGCGGTTTTATCGCCACTGAGGTGTGGTCATTTACAGTCAAATGAGATGATACAGGGGCCACTGAGAATGGACGCTAAAGGAATATGGTGGATGAGAAGGAAAAGCCTTTCTTTTTTTTTTTTTAACGGAAAAGAAAACACGAATTTCCTTGGAAGAACTTGTTCAGGTGACACTGAAAAATTGCCATGTACAGGATTCATCTTTCCCCAAATAATATGCAATGGATGTACCTGAATTCTTCCATTTCCTCCTTAAATTTCACTTGATATATTAGTCCTGAGTGCAACAGGGAGAAATGCCTTATTAATATATTATCGAACAATACTCTGAGCAAATCACAGATCCTATTAATTTGTTTTGCACAGAAAATTATTTACACCCAAACCCACAATATAGCCTCATATTAAAAGAACAATTTAGAATAAAACTTCTATACCCATATTTCCCCACTCAAACTCTGGAATAAACGTATTTAAGGAGTGGGAGGAGGTAAGGAAATGGCAGTCAGTTCTGATTTTCCTAGCTGGAAAATATAAAATGTATCCACCTCTACCTTTAGATGTTGGCTAGGCACACCCAACCTAGGGCTGCCCAGGAACCCTTCTAGTGACTTGTCTATTAGTGCTAAAGAAACCACAAAGAGGACACGGTGACAAAACTAAAAAAAAAAAAAAAAGATAACAGCCTCTGTTTTTCAAACAGAATTTGGTTTTTGTGCATTTCACGGCTATAAGCTTTTGGTTGGTTTTCTCTAAGATTTGCCTAAACTTAACTTAATCCAATCCTGATGAGAACATAAAGCTATGTTCCAAGAGTCCTGTGACACCACCCTATTAGCTTAAGACTTCAACCTCAATAGATCTGAACACCTCTTAAGATCAAGAATTTTAAAACAGTAGGAAAGAGAATGAAATTATACATTTTCTGCAGTGTTTTGAAAAAACGATGCGACATTCCCTCCTGCTTGCTTCCTTAGCAATATCTTCTGCCTTCAACATTATGAATGAAGCTCCCAGTTGGGGAACAATTCTTACTCATTCTGCTACGGCAGACTACAGGCGCCCCGTGTCTGCAAGAACATTGGTCCATCATTTAGTTGAACCAACATTCACCCAGGCGAGCGCGCTGCCTCGTGCCCACTGTCTCCCTCCAGCCAGCTCCCCGATGCTCTGCGCGAGCACCATCCACGGTATTCTCCAGCTCAATTGGGAATTTTACTTGACGCACGAGGAAATGGCCTTAAAATTGGAATCTAAGGCCTCCTTTTGTTAACACCGTTTCAGTGTTTAGTGCTAATACCTGGCTTCTTAGTTAGGTTCAATACCTTCTTTTACAACTCAACCCATTCTTGTGGATGTCTCAAAATGTACATACAAAGTACAAAAGCGTCCTGACCTCATGCTGTTTAGTTACAGGTTACTTAGCTGTCTTTCAACGCGAGAAAATGAGGACACAGACTCTAGGCTGTTTTTGAAAGGGAGGCTGCCCCACACTGGTCTCCACTGGCTGGCATTACATTTGCTCTCCCACACTGTTTAAATAGCAGCCCCTGCTCGACAGAAGTGCAAGGCTGGCCTGGCCGCCAGGCAGGCTGCGACGGCTCACGGGTCCGAGACGCTCTGCTGGAACACAGACCGAGCTGAGCCTGGGATTCTGTCGCCCGGGACAGGGACACTGGCGCTCCACCACCGCCTCTGAATGCCCAACGAAATTAAACAAGGAAATGAGGGCTTGACACAAATCAAAATCTTAAGGCTCTTCCTGGTAACCTCCTTCATTTTGAGGCTCTGAGAGCTTCAACGCTGTTCCCAGTCGTCGGCATGGCCCACATCACAAGACAGGCCCAGCCGCCAGCAGAACACGCGGGGTCGGCCGAGCCAGGGAGCTGGCTTTTCCCACGAGAAAGGGACAGACAGGACCGCCAATCTCTTGGGAAGAGCAGCTTCAGTGACCAAATGCCTTAAAGGCTGAGGTGGAAATTCATTTCAGATGAGAAATCAGGATGGCAGAGATCGCAGGCAACTTAACTCTCATTCAAGGGGTTATTAGCTCAGTTTGCTTTGTTAATTCAGAAAGGATTTGCCTGCTTTGGGCAAAAGGGAGAAAGAAAAGTCTCCATGAGCGAATCCTGCTTGGACAGTCTGGGGGCTAACTGGGACACAGCTGTGAGCACGCAGATCTGAGGTTCCAGTCATGTTTGCTTTTCCACACCCGCAGAACTCAAATACCGTCCCCCCACGCCCCGCTTCCAGTGCCGTCTCTTCCTCCCTCCTCTAAGAGATCACGAAAAGCACTACCAGCCAATCGCTTAAAAGCCCAAGCATCTTCCCTGCGTTTGTCTTTCCCACTAATTCTATCCCAAACACGTATCCCTTCCCACAGAGCATGCTATTCTGGCTCAAGAGAAGGCCAGGTTTTCCTGGCTGCGCCTCCTCAGGAGGCTGTCAAACTCCCAGTTGGACTAGTCCCAGTGAAAAAAGGACTCCAGAGATGGCCAAGTGTTTTCAGAAACTCCACAGGGGTGGAGAAAGGATTCTAGGGATGAACTCAAACTACACACTCCGGAACCAATCCCAGCATTAGCCTAGCCAAACGTCACACCTCTGTCTGTCCCGTGGCGTGCGAGGGAGGCCAGAGTAGCCAGGAGGCCCGTTGCTGGAGGGGCCGAGGCCGGGGACGCCGGGTGGTTCAGCAGCAACACTCCTGGGCTCGGACACCTGTAGTCTTTGCTTTCATTTCTCCTAGAGAAATCGCCAAAGGCATCCAAGGCCACCCTGCCCCCGTCACCAGAGCTTGCTGCCGGCCGTTTCCGATCCACCCCAGACCGTTCGGAAGTGATTGTGCTGTTTCTCTCGCTTTGTAAAAAGGAGTCTCGCTTATCCTGCGGTGCGGATTACAAGTGGGAGAGAGGCATCCTGTCTTCTACCAGCACGGCGTCCGCCCCGAACTGGTCAGTGCACTGCTTCACGGTGGCCAGGACGCTCAGGAGCCGCTGGTCCGCGGCGTCCAGGTGAGGCTCGGACAGCACAGGGGCGATGGGGTCATGGGCCATGGCAGATTTTAAGGCAGACTTCAGCACACCATTTTTTAGGTAGTTCAGTCTGTTCCAGGTGGACACCCGAATGCTGGAAGAGAGAGTTTTAAGGCAGATTACGTGAAACCTCTTACTATCAAGAGGAGATTAAAGCCTGCTGGGGAAATAATTATGTAAAATGTTTCAACTAAAAAAAAAAAAATTTGTTTCTGAAGGACCTCTACATGATGAAAAAGTCACATTACCACATTTTGATATTTTTTTCTAGGTAATTAATCAGAGGTATATGCAAAGATTTACACATGTTCATTCCAATGTGTAACTAAATTTGTAATGGAAAAATGTGAAAGATCTGAATGTTCAGCTACTGGGAAACAGTTAAATGTATGACTTATCCATTCAAGGGAATACCATGCAGCCGTTAAAAATAGTTTTGAAAATTTAGTGGCTTGAAAAATGCCTGTGATATAATATTGGGTGGGGGAAAAAAGTTAAAGGGAGAAAGTTTTACTCCAAATCTGTGGGGAAAGAAAATGTGTATGTATAAACACACACACACACACACACACACATATACAGACATATACACATGATTAGAACGAAGTCTCTATGATGTTAACAGGAGTTACCCTTACATGTTAATGGACAGTTTTAATTTTCTTCTTTTTGTGTTTCTGAATGTAAAAAATTCCTACCATTAATATTATAATTCAATTACAGTATCAGTATTATAATTCTACCCACTTCCTGTGGGTAATGTGGGAATTACGAGGAGACAAAGAAGTCTGATTCTGCAAGAGGCAGCCCGTCCTGCATCTATTTAAAAAGGAAGAGCGACCTTTGGACAAAGCACGGAAGGGGCCGACAAGCACAGAGGCGGTGTGATTTTGCTATTGTCAAGTCCACGACAGGTGCCCAGAGCATCAGAGCTTCCCTTGTGTGACTAAGGCATCCCTTGTCTGCCTCTCAGCCCCACATTCGCTCTCCATATATGTATGCCCTGCTATAACGCGGAGAATTCCTTGAAGCATCTCTCCTGTCAAGCTTTCTCCGTCGATGTCACTGGAGGGATACTGCAGACACTTCCGGTTGCTGCACAAGTGGGTCGCGAGTCAGGGGGAGGGGTCATCAAACGGTGCTCTGCCCTGGCCACAGTGCCAGGATGAGCAGGCCCTCTTGACATGGAAACCCGGGCCCCGAGGGCCACCTGCCCATGCTGGCACCCCACTCCCTTTGCAGGCCCACACACATGCCCTGCCTGCAGCCCAGGCAGTTTCTCCTGAGCCGTCCCTTCCTCCGTGATGCCCTGAACACAGGTGCAAGTCATTGCCTGAACCTGTACCCCGGAGGGCTGCTTCCTGCTCGCCCAGGGCCTGCAAACTAGCCAACTTCTCCGCTCTCCCGTGGACCGGACTGTTCTTCATCGAAGTCCACACCCTAGCCTTGGGGACAGGGTTCCCTTCCAAGTTTGTCCTTCCTAGGGTACTCTCCCTCAGCCCTAAAAAGTTTCCTTTTATAGTTACGCTTGTATCAGAGCTTCTTTATACTCAACTTTCCCATTTAACCCACTGTGTCTTTTCTAGCTTCTGACTGGATCAGACGGACAACACTATTACTACAAAAACATCTTCTTTCAAAGACGTGGTTTTTGACTGGCCGTACTATTGCCTATTAATGAAAACAAGGGGTGCTTGGGTCAATACTTAATGCAGAATACTGTGCTGCTGCTATTAAAAAGAGAGACAAGAGAAAGAGCCCGGTTGCCAGGAGGGGCGGTCGGATGTGATCTGAGTGTCTCGGGCAGTTAACCGGTAGGACGTGGTGCTCCCGGATTCCTGTTTCCTTGTGGCTGAGCGACGTGCAACCAGCTGATTCTTAATACTCCCCTTTAAATCTTAAACCAGCAATAATGCTCTGAAAAGGAGCTCCTTAGAGCCTGGTCTTCATCTCATTTTGATTTACCTTTTAATTTCTTTGTTTTCTAATATAGACTTTAAAAAAACACATGACTAAATGCCTCCAAAAAAGTTACATCTGGTTTATACAATTTCAAATTGAGATCTGCAAACCACAGATGGTCTGTGGTGGGGAGTGAGAGGACTTCAAACCCCAAGGTAGACACGGTACAGCAGCCAGGGACGCAGACTGTACTAGAGTTCTGGCGACGGTCACATGATCAAAGGATCATATTATGATATTAAAACAAACATGAATACATATTATTGAATAGGCTGAAGATTCCTATTCATACAAAATTTGAAATGAATTTTGAGCTCCACGGGTTCTGGGATGGAAAAGCATGAAAAGCACTTGCTCAGGTCTTAGGAAGTTTTAAGGCCCAGGAAATGGATGGACTGTTATGTGAGCCTGGAAAGGAAGATGACACAGGCCCATGTATTTGCTGTGCGGAACTTACATGCAACACTGATAGAGGGGGGCAAGAATGCTTCTCTCATCCAGCGACGGGTTCCCAAAGCTGAAAATTAAATTAAAACTTAGTGAATTACTCAGTGGCACCAGTTGCCTTCTTAGCATCAAATTTGCGAGAGCAAATTCTCGAAGACGACCCAAATGTGAGCCTAGATAATTTCATGCTCCCATGGCTCAAATCACTTAAATTAAAAAGAAACGGGGCGTGACCAGTCAGACAGGATTCCTAACAGTCTGTACACGGTATCAAAAACAAACGCCCTCATTGACAAGCCTCCTGTCTTCCGCCAGCTACGGCAAGGTGCCGAAGCATAAGCACACCACACAGTGCGGAGCCCATGGACCAAAGGGAGGACCCCGAGACCTGGAGGTTTTATGGGGGCGGGGGGGCAGGCAAGAAATAAAGGCTATCCACATGGTTCCCACTAACACACAGATGGTCGTCACTTGTAACAAGTTGTTCTACCTCGAAATCACCCATGAGAAAAGAGCAGGATTATCCTATCCCTACAAGTAAGTATATGGCCAGATTCAAACTGGACAAACGGCTCACGGAAGCTGAGAAAACAGTA